CATATGCTAGAGCAGCAAGATGACATCCTCCAGGTAATATTTAAGCAGAATACAAAGGAGAAGCATGTAAATCAGCAAACATTGTTGATGATTCTTGGACTCAGTCATCAGGATTTGACATGATGTCGAGGAAAGCATTCAACTACTTTCCACTTTACATAATGTGAAGCGCTTTGAGACGTCTGGAAGACAAGATAAGGCGCTATATGAAATGCAAGATTATTGTTAAACTTGAAGACAGGTGAACAAACATATTGACAATATGTAAGACAGAACACATTTCATCAAATTAAGTCTGAGGCCAAATTAAGTGTCCTCATTTCATGGGTTAGGTATTTTGAAGATATTTCGCCGCTGTTATCTGGATGTATCCTTTAGTTCAAAAGCTATTGAAGCTTGGTCCACAATGTTATTCATGCACAGCACAGAGGGCAGTTTCAGTGTTGTGAATGGTAATTTTAGGATGAGACTAGATACATAGCATAATCAGCACCTGAAACAGGTTAACACAAAGTCCAGGAGAAGCTAGAGAACAAAGTTTCAATGAAGAAACAGCTTGATAATGTAACAGGAGGATGTTAACTTTGGTATTATGGAAAGAGATCAAATGGCCCAAAAAGCATTCTTACTCTGAACCCAATATCGAACACCATGAAGAGATATGAATTCCAGCAGTATTTAGAAGTTTCAGAAGGAAGAAAGAAAATTGACTGTCTTCAGTTTAATGTCACGGTTTGCATTCTTGCTGAATTTAAATATGCTGTAGTTATAAGTTATCAGCTTAAAAATAAACTTGTTATTGAAATTTCTGTTATTCTGTTCCCCTTTACCTAGTATTTTTCCAACACCAAGAAATCCCCCCATATAAAAACCATAAATAATTATGAAAAAAATCATTCTAAACATACACAGAATTTTTATTTCAAATATATTATACAATAAAACAAATTGTAACTAAAATCCATTTTATAATACTTTCTAGCCTTTATACCTCCCTTTATGCCTGAAAATCATAAAACGCATTCAAAAATTAATTAAATAAAAAAATCTGTACTATAATTTTAAAGCCAGTTATTAAATCGTACCAATGCCACACAATTATGGCCTAAGGATATCAGGTCTCTATAATTCAATTGTGTTTCCTAAAATGATTATGTACAGCTATTCATTTTTAATGCAAGTTTATGCAATGATGTAAGCTATTTGAAAATACTATTGACCGTTTGTAAACGTTTGCTGTTTCTTTCTAATTAGATTTTATTTTTGAGTCAGTAATATATTGTATCTAATATCTTATAGATATTATCTTATGAATAAACTACATGTGCTAAAATTATGAGTTTGTTTTATCCCTCTCTACTGTTGCCAATTGTGCACTATTGCAACAGCAACCTTTCCCAAGTTCATGTAATTTGTCCTTTCATGCCAAAACACACTTTGGATTTCAAATATAGGGAGCAGGGATACTCCTAGATCAGGTGATCCCAGATGGTCTCTGGCTGTCATTCTAGATTGCTTTCTTTGAAAGCTATCTCCCCATATATCTCCTTATTCTTCCCTCACTCCGATGGCCTCTCAAAGCAGCTCTAGTTTTGAAAGCAAAAGAAGTACTACTTGTATGATAGCCTTGTTTAATGTCTGTACAAAGTACAATTTGCTTTTCCTTGTCAATACATTTTAGTATACTGTTCAACTCCTGATCTCTTCCACTTTATGGTACTTGTATGGTAAACTTATTTATCTAAAATAAATATCTCAAAGCACTTAATAGGAGCGAAGAATAGTGAGAAAGAAAGAAAAGGCAAGTGCAGCCAATCAAAGGCAAAGTCAATGACATAGGTCTATAAGAGATTTTTAATAAGGAGACAGAAAGGGACCCTAACTTGGATGACAATTCCAGAGCAGTGGCGTGTGGCTTAATGTTTGGCCTCCAAAGATGGAGTGTGGAGGCAGTCAGACATGAACATTAATCCAGATTCAAATGAGGAGGCTGAAGCTGGCTTGGAGAGCAGCCAAAAATTTGCAGATGAAGTGGAGAATAACAACTTGCATTTACGTAGTACCCTTTCATGCAGGATAGCATCTCATAGCATCTCGCCACTTTACAGTGGCAGAGCCTAACGTCGAGCCAGAGGGAGGGACAAGTGACCATAGGCACAGTCGAAGAGGAAGGCCTTCACGCGTGATCTGAAACAAGGAAGGAGGAAGCAAGGCGAAGGGATTGAGTTCCAAAGTTTCAAAGGGGTGTAGTAGCTGAAAGTATGGTGGAGCGGAGGGGAAAAAAGGACAAGTAGGAAGCTGGAGCCAGCCGATAGTAATTGTATGTGACTAGTGGTGCTCTCCATCTAGGGGAGTGGAGAGTAAACAGGTCGGAGGTAGGGAGGATTTTGAAATCAATATGTTGCATGATATGGTTAAACATATATTGTGCTTTTGCGAATGTGTTTTCCAGACAACAATTACCGATCTATTGTGTTAACTCAATAAAATCTAATATCAAATAAAATTAAAAGATTTTGGTTGCAAAATGTTATGCCTACGTACAATTATTCTGCTACAATCCTGCACAAATGTACCATTCACATCATACTAACATACACAATGTACAATTTAGTACAATAAGCACTCTAATTTGTAAACATGTTATCATTCTTCAGTCTTTTTTCCATAAAGATCACAAAACAATGTACATTTTTAGGTGTTAGTAATCATAGTCTTCAAAAGTTCTGATGAGAACATGGATGAGGGGGGATTAAAAATGGAACATATATCGTTACTAGATGGAGAGCACCATTAGTCACATAAAATTACTATTGGTCCTATTATTTCAGATGACATATTTTACAATAATTTTCCTGCACTGTTATGGTAGATAAACAAGCTCTATCATCTAGACTGTAAACAACAAGTAGGAATGCAAGCAGCAATCCAAGCAATGCAAGCAGCAATCCAATTGAGGGGTTCAGATTACACCATATATCATGAAACTCAAGGTTAAGTGTTTAAGGCATTTAAACTATGAGAGTAAATTGTTACTTGGTTACTTTTAAATCACATGATGTTTTAACCTATTATCCTGGGGGGTGGGTGGGAGTTAAGTGGGATTTCCTTGGAGCCGAATTTAACTGAGATGACTCCAAGCTCATATACTTGGCAAAGCAATGTTGCAATGGAGTCAATCCTCTGTGGCAGTCTCGCTACTCTGATTTCTGAGCCAGGCAGGTCAGCAGTACCCCAGGGCACTGTTAAACATCCAGCCAACCTTGCTCGCCAGCAGCATTTGGAGGGAGAAGGGATTCTCATTTGGTTCCTGTTAACTAAAGCCCTAATGGGCAAGATGGTCCGACCTGACAAGCAGCAAGAAGATTGCCAGACTGTTGCTCTCAATGGCAAGCTATGTGGTTATAGTTGGTTAAACTCCAGCAGTATCCCAAGCACACTCCCCAAGACTTAGTTTTTGCCAACCTGTGCAGGGTAGTCCCTCCAGGAACAAAATACACATTCCATTCTAGATAGAGATAAATTCCCCCTGTATGTGGCAGACTCGCAGTCTGGTTTGGATAGTACAGTGATGGGGTTCTGCATGTGAAAGATTCTTGGCTGACGAAAATAAAAAATATTTTAACCTCTGCCAGTTCTACCAATGACTGTTAACTGTTGCTGCAGTTTCTGCTTCAGGACAGCACAAAAATCAGGTTTGTAACATAAAGGGTAGTGGTGCCTGACAGAAAGAATATTGAGATGGTAACTTAAAATATGAGGCTCACCAAAAAACTGGGCTCTTTTGGAAGGTGAATCATATAAAAAAATAATCAATCTCCATACGTATATACTTCAGTTTTCGATTCACCAATTACTGCAGATTTGCACATTATTATTATAATACAGTAATATATACAACTGTGGAGTATGTACCACCTTTTCAGGTAGCCAATTTTTCTGATGTCAAATTTATCTATACACATGATTTTAATGATAGTTTCTGTGATTAATTCATGACATTATATAGAAATACATAAACGCATACAAAGAAAACTGAACAGTAGGTAGTTAGCGAAAGATTGCACTATCATGTGTTTGTAAAATATGCTATGTCCATTTTCATGTTTATTCACAATACTGCACAACGCTTGTTCAACCATAATGTTCAGCTTGAATTCAATCTCATCTCAACTGAGCATGGAAACTTGTCTGGTTGATGGGTATCAGCACTATTTAATTGGTAGCTTCTGATTATGTTCATCAATTTGGCAAGATAGTGCATACAAATGTCCACTCTTGTTCAATTCGATTAGTGTCAGTCACTGTGGTTTTAACAGGAACAGACACTAACAGGATTAATACAAACCCCTTATCCACCATAGCAGCACTTAAAACACACTATGGGAAATTCTCATGGGAACAGGCACAAAAGCTTTCTGAATTTAACACAGAATGAGAGCAACTAAAGCTATAACATTATATTTAAAGCCTAAGGGGAAACATCAATTCAAAATTTGTCCTTTATTTGGGGAAAAAAGGGAAAATAGCCAAATAAAACCTTTCAAATATATTGATAACTCAATGAATTTTGAATGATGCTTCAATAAAATATCTGTTGCATTTGTGGATTCATCAATTTTTTAAAAAAATATTGATACTGTATGAATAAATGGCAAACGTAATTCTCATGAAAACTCACACTAGCTGAGCTACAATATTTCTACACTTTTTAAAAACAGATTTCTTGCAACCATTGTATCCACTTCTCTTGGCCAGATCTACAGAAGTAGATGCATTAAACGTTTTTGAATTTTTAACTTCAGTAACAATGGCTTTCCAATCAATTAACCATTATGTCAGCACATATACACCTTGAACAAGTCCCCGTTTCCTTGTTTCAAGTCTAACTAGTTGAACCAATCAGTGCTAGAGACCTCTACTTTCATCCATCAATCATCTTTTTACGTAAACACACAATCAAACAGGATTCTTCAGTTGTACTTTTAAGGCACTTTATCACATATACCCCCAAAAATAAATGACTTATATGCACAATTCTTAAATACAGATCTTAATTGGAATAGTTTGCTGCAATTCTATATGTATGGTACATTACATTATACATACATTCATACAAAATAGGGGTTTCCACCGATGTTATACTGGGATCTTGGTTTGTCTTGTGAGTTTTAATGCCTGTGGATTTAAAAAAAAACAGAATTTAATTTTGATTTTAATCTCATGGCAACAGAAATCTTGGTAAATCTTCTCTATAGTAATATTCAATTTAAAACCAAACAATATGGGGCAAAACACCAGAATTTTTTTCTATTGTGAATAACAAATAAAATTAATCATCTGCAAAATACAGCACTCTGGATTTGACCCTGAATATATTTTTCAATACATTATTTTATTATAACAATTTGTTAACTTCTTATACAAATAGGATAACATTTCTAACAGCAATAAGGTCCGATGTGAAATTAATTTGGGAAGTTTCAAACCAAACCGACTATAATTATGCACTAGTTGATATTAAGTTGACAATTTCCAAAATGATAGTTGCTGTTGAAAGAAGAAAAATATGGCTCAAGAAGGGTGATCTTCAGAGTTTTGAATTAAAGCACATTATTAATGCAGTGTGGAGGTTTTTTTTTTACCTGTTTTAACCAAGAATGGCCTAGACACTATACTTTACAGTAAAACAGTTTGAGACGTCCTCAAAAGCACAATAAACGTAGAGATTAATATTAAAATATTTAGATTAATTGAATCGTCAAATGTTGCGATTGTGTTCTGTAACATGGATATCAATCCAGGGAGACTGAATTGTTTGTACAATACATTGATTTGGGGATTTCCCCCAATTTATGTAATTCATAGTTTGATGAAATGGCTTTCAATTTGTGAATTGGTTGACAGACCTCTCTCCCAAAAAAACTCATTGTCCTTGGAACCATATACTGGTACAAATTATTGTCATCAGTTATCACTTTCCAGAGGTAATAATCCCAATTTTCAAAAAAGAATCACTCAATCCATGATTGTTTGTGGGAGATTGTTGTGTGCAATCAGCTGCCGTGTTTCACCCACAAAATACACTTCACAATATGTTTTGTGAAGCGCTTTGGGATGTGATAAGCACTATATCAAAGACACGGATTATTATTATTATCAGGAAGATTTCAGAAAAAAACATTGGACCAATATTTGTAATTGCCACAAGAAGTTGCAGGACCACAAGGCAGAAATGACAGAAAAGGCATTAAACTGATCGAACTAAGAAAACAAGGACAACAAAATTGATTTCCCGCAGGTTTTTATCTCAAGGAATATTTGCGGTAATTTCACTAACATACGTTGATGTGGGTAAGGTTACTTATCTCGTTGTGCAAGCCTTACTTTTTGACGCGTGACCATCCAGGTCTTCACTGTTCCAACTAACAGGCCGCCTAGCAGAATCTGGGTGGGATGATAGATGAGTAATGGAACAGAGATGAGAGATAAATGTTCATACCCTGAAAACACTATCTTCAACATTGGGATTCCTGAGAATAGAAAACAAACATCAACAAAAAGTGTTTACATTTTTTTAAACATTCATTTCATGTTTCACGCTGAATTTTTTTTTACTTGTAAGTGGAACGCTCTGCAAATTTAGTAATCTTATCTAAGAAAAAATATATTCTGTTTTTTAGGGTTTGTAATGACTATTTCCAAACAAGGATTTTATTAACAATATTATAGTAACGTTACATGATCTTATGACTGAAAAAATACCCATTTGAAGACTCTGGCAATATATTTAGAGAGCACAGAAATCATATAACCCAAAAAACATAATATAGTTACTTTCTAAGGGCAAAACCTTAGGAAAGTTTCCTCACTCCACAAAGAAATATTGGACCAATACCTAGCAGTAAGCAGGAACCCGATTGTTAGTCAATTGGCGGATCGCTTTCTCGGGGTAATAATCCCTCCCCAAAAAAAAGAAAATAATTTGGTCACTTGATCCACGACTGTGGGACACTGCTGTGCGCAATTGGCTGCTGAGTTTCCCCCCAAAAATACAGTTAATTAACTTTACAATATATTATGTGAAGCGCTTTGAGACGTCCGAACAACATGATAAGGTGCAATATCAAATGCAAGGATTATTATTTGTAGTAACAATGGTAGCAGTAGTAGCAATAGTAGATTTCAGGGTCCTTCCAATTAAATTTCCCCAAAGATTCCTTCCTTTGACAAAGCTATTCATAAACTGGAATAAAAAGCAATCTTAAACCACTGAATTATATTCTGTGTCTCTTAAGTAATTAAATAACATGCAGAATTTGCAGACAAAAATACAATGAGCTACAATGCTGCCTCCTCTTAAAGTTCAAAGTGTCTCCAACAAGAGTAAAATAATGAGCATTTGAAGTATTTCAGGTGGATGTTAAAGATCCCACAGAAGAAAGTTTCTTCCAGATTTCTGGCCAACAATATCTCAGATAGAACTGGTCATTTGCTCCACGGCTATTATGGGACATTGCTGTGTATAAACCGGCTGGCGCTTTTCACCAACAAAATACCGTCAAACCACGTTACAGTATATCCTGTATACGCTTTGAGACGTCTCAACAATGTGATAAGGCGCTATATCAAATGCAAGAATTATTATTATTACTTTAATAATTGAGGAAGTAGGAATATTTAAAGCAATTTGTGTTGGTTCACAAGATGGCTTCTGATTAATGTCAGTATAGATAGCAAATATAAACAGCAACAACAACAAGATTACATTTGTATAGCACCTTTCACGTTGGGAAGATGTCCCAAGGCGCTGGACAGTGTACAGCATTTCAGACCTGAGCTGGGGTTGGGTGGGGGGGGGGGGGGGGGGGGGGGGGGGGGGGGGAGAAGGGAGGGGAGGGGAAGGGGGGTGACCAATGGCATGGTCGAAGAGGAGGGTTTTGTGGCAGGACTTAAAGGAGGCTAAGGAGGGGGCGAGGCAGAGTGATTGGGGGATGGAGATCCAGAGCTTGGGGGCAGAGTGGCTGAAGGCTCTCCCGCCATTGGTGGGGCGGGTGGGTTGGGGGACGTGGAGCAGGCCAGAGCCGGCTGAGCGGAGAGAGTGGGCGGGTTGGTAGGGGTTTAGGAGGTCGCAGAGGTAAGGTGGGGCGAAGCCATTGAGGGCTTTGTAGGTAAGGTCCAGGATCTTGAAGTGGATCCTCTGAAGGATAGGGAGCCAATTGAGTCAGACGAGAATGGGGGAAATGGGGTCATGGAGTTTGGTGCGGGAGAGGACACGGGCTGCAGAGTTCTGGATTATCTGCAGCCTGTGGAGGGAGGAGTTGGGAAGGCTGACAAGTAGGGAATTTGCATAGTCGAGCCTAGAGGTGATGAAGGCATGAACAAGTTTTAGCGGCCTAAGGGGTGAGGTAGTGGCGGAGTCGGGCGATGTTACGGAGGTGAGGGAAGGCAGAGCGGGTCATGGCTTGGATGTGGGGAAGAAAAGACAGTTGAGGGTCAAACAAGACACCTAGGTTCCTGACTGGCGGTGAGTTGAAGTGTGCAACCATGGAGGTTTGTTGCTGCCAGAGCCTGAGGTGCTGAGGCGCTGGCACGAACCAATCGGGAGGGCCTCAGTCTTGTTCACATTCAACTGTGGGAAATTTGCCCTCATCCAGGACTTGATGTCCAACTTGATGTCTGTCAGGACAGCAGTGGTCCTGGAGTTGAGGGTAGAAGCAGAAAGATAGAGTTGGGTGTCATCCGCATACATATGGGAGTTGACCCCATGTCTGCGGATGATGTCACCAAGAGGGAGCATGTAGATATTAAAGAGGAGAGGGCCAAGGACAGAGCCCTGGGGGACGCCAGATGTGACAGTGCGGGGGCTGGAGGAGAAACCATAAGAGGGAACAAAGTGGAGATGGTGAGAGAGATAGGAATCGAACCTGGCAAGGGCAGGTCCGCGAAGATTAAGTAAAGAGGAGAGGTGGATAAAGAGAGGCAGCTGACCAGATGAACAATTTGAGCATTATGGCTGTAAATGTAGCATATTAAACAGCATGAAACCTACAATGATCATGTCTGAATTGCAAGTGTAACAAATGCAATTCGATGTGCCACAACTCTGATATCCTGCTCCTTTCTTTGACACAGCCTGAATAAGTTTTCACAATGATATACGACTATGCAGGATACTGCACTATCTGTGCATTTACAAGGCCACTGAGCTGCAAATGTTTATAAAAGATTAATTGAATGTTTCTGAACTACAATGCAATGTCTGTAAAGCAGGTGGAAGGTATGTACTGTAAGTGGATTCTTCATAACTAATGTAATTTCTACCAAGAGCATTTATACCGTCAGACAAGTACAGAGTGTGGACTGATATAGAGCACTTTCTCAGCACATTACTACCCATTGCAAACACTTGGGAAATCACTAATGTACAGCATGTAATATTTCTATGTCATGCATGGCTCACTTTTCTAAAAGTCACCCAACAGAAGCTGACATTGCCAGATATTCCATAAGGAACATTTTCAATAGACATCTGCTAGCAATAGTTTGCTTCTAATGTAACATTCCGTACACAAAGCAAACACACAGTGGTAATTTATTCTTCTACTATTTGCTCCAAAAACTTTAGCATTTTTAATCTACAGATGGATATGTGCTGCTCATATGCAGGAGCATTTTTAGTGTGCAGGACTGATTCCTCTTAGTTTGGGGTTAAATTCCACAATTTGGTGACTCTTTTAAGCCCATCAGTTAAACTGAAAAATCCAGATATTGTTGGTAAGATTAATAATAATAATTCTTGCACTTGACATAGCGCCTTATTGCGTCTTCGAAACTTCTCAAAGCTCTTCACAGGATATACTGTCGAGTTTAGTCATTATATTTTATGGGCGAAATATAAGATTTAGCCTGTAAAAAATCTGTTATCTTCTGAATAAACCTGTCAGCATGCTGATTAATTTCATATAACCCAATAAATTAATTTAAATTTGGATCAACGATCAATATAATTACTACTGGAAGAACGCACTCTATCGGGATAATCTTGATCACAATTGAATACAATCTTGTTGTATAAACAGAGGCTATTTTTGGCATACAATACAAATGTGTGTAACTTCTAAATTATACAGTCAATGCGTAATTAGTAAGCGATTCATGTGTTAATTTTGGCAACACTAACACGTGGGAGAAGGACAATGTGGCAAAAGGAAGTAGGAAAACATTTCAAGTACATAAATATAGCCAAATACATAATTACCAAAAGATTTAGGAGAAAAGCAGCGCATTAATTTCCTCCCATAATCATGAGTTTGATTTGCTAAAAATTTTCCACTGTTTTCATATACTTTGTTGTAAAATAGAAATGACTGAAAATTTCTGCACTGTATAATTTTAAAAAAATGTTTATGCTTTTAGAACACACAAAAGAGATAGTTTGCCTTTTATTTGGGCAAATATTGGTATCAAGAGACTCTTAAAGCCCAATTTCAGACTCTGGGGTGCCTGCTGCTGCTGCTGCTGAACAATGTCCCAGTGCTCCAAAGGGGAATTCTTTAAATAAAATTCCTTTTATAATTCATTTTTTCAAAAATGTTTGGTGATGGTTACAACCCCCTGGTGACCAAAGGACACGGAAGATCAGCATTACCTTTAGGTCACAAAATAACTCACCAAGATTAACTCATTCCTCAAGGGATCATATGCACAGTACAGTGGTATTCATTTATTATTGCCATACTTTAGAAGTACTTTTCTTTAAGTCCCCTACACCTACACATGCACCACTACCAGTCTGGTGTGTGCAAGTGTTTCCAGGAGCTGCTATAATCTTCACAGTATGTTATTAAAACAATGTACATCTTGGAGTGACTTCAAAGTTATCATCGACTTCACTCTCATGATTTATGGCATCACCCTCTGTGTGCATGCCCGTTATCTATTATTCTCTTATTTAATCTGATCTTTGTACACAAGTTTCAACAGTAACTTTGTTTACTTAGGGCACTTGTCACTGCCATCACATTTTATATATTTGGTATTCTGCATAAAAGCAGTTTGTATGTGTGTAATCTGTGTAGATTAAACAGAAATCTATGTTTCATCAATTGACATGTGATGCTATTATTATTTCTGACCTATAAGTTTTTTTCTTCTCCTTAGGTTTTCTGACATAATGCACCATCCCCTGTCAGAGTATAATTCCCATGGAGTACATAGCAGTGATTTGCACTCAAATGTTCCCGTTCTGTTACACAAGTGTCAGCTTGGTTCAATCGGTAGCAGTGGATCAGAAGATTACGGTTCAATCTCCATGACAGAATTTGAACTCAATCTAAATTGACACTCCAGTGGAGAACTTGGAGTTGGAGTGCTGAATTGTCAGAGCTGCTACCTTTGGGATGAGATGTTAACTCAAGTTTGAAGTTTGAACTGCATTTAGTGACCATTAAATATCAAATTTCACTTCACAATTGTTTGTGGCAAGCTGACTGTAATTGCAAAGGAAAAAATCAGTAAAAGTAAGTAAACT